GAAGCTTTGGAGCTTAACTCTCCTAAAAGCATCGTCGTTTATCTTAGCAAGATGTCCCTGATGACTGCCGCTGCCGCTGGCCGCGTGATACAACCACGTCAGCCACGATTATGCGATAAATACACTTATCACTGTTGGGAAAGACTGCGTAAGCTTTTATCATGGCCACCCTGTACTTTGAAAACTTATTGTAAAGTGCTCTACTCAGTAATTATGGTATGAGGGAACTCAGAGCGAAAACTGATGCAACTTTCCCTACTCTCTCCCTACTTTCAAAATCTGCTGCATATTTCGCTTAGTTGTGCTGTGTTCCAATCCAGGCGTTATCCGTTGAAAAACTTGTCATATGTTTGTAGATAGGCTCAACGTACGAAGGATGGCAGAGATGGCATGGCAGTTGCATGAAGTGCCTATAGGATATTATTTAGAACGAAATGAATATGATGCTTTTAGTGATGTGTTAAGGCATCTTCTACCTATTTTGCCAATACTTCACATGTATTGTATGGCTTAGTATTTATAGTATTTATTTGGCCCAGTACTCCCTCTGATTATATGCAATGATGGGCTCAGAGGAGCATTGGAGGGCTCAAAGCAGATTGGGGGAGGCTCAGGCCCTTCAAAAGTAGGTGAAGTGACGCCCCTGCTTGGAACTCTTGTTGTTATTGGCCACATTGCACGTCATTTACGGGAAAAAGAAAGGAGTCGTGGAGCAGGAGTGACTGTCTCAAACATAACATGTTTGGTGGATTGGCAAAAACGCGTTTCGAGGCCTTTGTCTGTCTCACCGCCTGAGCAGGTCCTGTGAGGGCTTATTCTTGATTTCCGTCGGTTTCTCGCAGCACCACAACTACATTGAACAGATGCTGGACGTGGGCGCTGGCCTGATTTGTCGTTATTGTTTTGCACTGCACGTGCGACTGGAGGGCTTGATTTTCAAGCCCATTGATCGCAGGTCAGCACTTCGCATTCTGCATACTACAGCATAGGAACTATTTAGACCAAGCACCCCGGCTCTGCTCGCGCCGGATAACAGGCCCGCTCCGGTCTTCCGCTCACCGGCACACTGCGTGAGGGCGCTCGGTCGTGACGTCGCTCGTTGGTCCCGCCGCTGTTGCTGGGCGCCACCGGGCTTCGGGCGGCCGGTATAAATACGAGCGGACATCACGGAGCCGATCAGACACGGCCGCAGCGAAAACAGGTGAGTTCAGTCTGATGTTCCGCATCTCCGACACCGATGCCACTGCACTCATCTACCTGATGGTCCACGAGCGTTCTTTGGCCGGCAGGTTGCACTTCGGCTTGGATTTCAGGCAGGAAGAATAGACTTATTTGTGATGGCAGGCTTAGGACCTGTGACCGGGACCATTATCTTTTGCATGCTGCGGGTTGAATAGGCAAGTTTTGGTAGATGATGTGCTTCCGTTACCTGCTCCCAGAAGCCAAACATGCTTTTGATTTACCCCGATATTGAAATGCTACAGAATGCTCTGTGAGGATTTCTCCGCATGGTGGTAGGGGTAGTGAAACAAAGTTTCGTTCAGAAATAAGCGTGTTATACTCTATGCCGGCCAATAAGCATGTAACTAATCTACGATTAGGGGAGGGGGAAGTTGAATCAGTCCGTCATTTATTGGTCGTCATCAAACTGAAATCTATCATTACCACCCGACTGTAATTTACCGTCATTATGCGCTTGTTTTCCAGAACGATGAAGCTGGTTCAGATCCACATTGTGGCGCTGGTTTGCCTCTGTGCGGCAGCTGAGTATTTTCCAGAGAAGCTTGTAAAGAAGTATGCCATGAAAAAGGTCAGTACTGGCAGACTGGCTGCGGACCGATGGCACCGTCACGTCTGCTGTATCGCGGAATGTGCTCAGCTGAGCACCAGCACCAGCTGCGGCATCCTCGTTGCCGGGTGTTTGTTCCCACGGTGTCGCCCTTCGCCTGGGTAAGTGACCCGGTGCATCGTTGGACTGTTTCACCGAGCCCTCGCTTACATGATCGCGGCCGCGCATTCTCAGATGGCCGAGAGCTGCTTCGGCGAGGAGGCGATCAAGACCAACAAGATGGAGGTGGCTGCCGCCACTGTCAAGTGCATGGGCGACGATGCGGCCGGCCGACCCGGGCTGATGGCGCGCTTCGGCGGCATCTTCGAGGTTCAGGTCTGTAGGTAACGGTGGTCGCGGACTGTCAGGACGTGCGGGTGCCGGAGGTGTTGACCCTCTCATTGTCCGTGTGTTCAGCGTGTCACTGGGTGCAGGCAGTCGGCGGACAGAGATTACCTGGCGCAGTGCTTCGAGTTGACAGAGGGAAGGTTGAACGCGGGTTCGACGAGAGGGTAAAGGTACGTGTAATACGCGCTGTGAGGTTTTCATGCGAATCCTGCTATCGTGATTATGTGCAGGCGCTCACAGTGCTATCGCACCGGGCTTGATGCAAAGTGCTTACATATTCATCATCTTTGGCATTCATCTTTTTGTTCTCTCATGCATAGCTTTGTTGTCAATTTCGCAGGGGTCTCGACGGAAGAGATCTAACCATAACGGCCTGAGGCCCGAGGGATTACAGAAGATCCAGGCCAAGATCTCGAATTTGATGGGAAACATCACTTGTGTGCTTAAGGAGATGAACATGGTGAGTTGAGACAAGTGGTGAGAACATGAGACATGGTGGTGAGAACATGAGACAAGGTTGAAGCTATTAGGTCCCAATCAATCACGCCAACAAACCACCAGGAGTTACCAAAAGCTGTCCTCACCTTTGTCTTTTGACATTGAGCAACGGATCATTTCAATAGCAGGACATTTCGCCCCATTTGCAGTACTGGAGATGAGAGATTGGCACCCCCGTCACCAACCGACTCGCCGATAATAAATGTTCATTCGCACTGGGAGGAGAGCAGAGCCTCATAAACCTGCTGTAATGTATTACAGTCTGTCAGTGTAAGATATAATATAACGTGTCTTGTTGTAAGATTGCATTAGACAGCTAACTTTTGAACGACGGGTTATTTTGTTTAGTATGCATGGCTACGTTCACGTTTGCAAACTAACCAAAAACAGAAGCGCGGTTATACTTAACCAAGTATTGTGTACTTCAGCTGGACGCTGAGAACCAGATTGACCTGGCCTCAATGAAGGAGCGTGTCACCGGCATGAACCTGGCGAAGGGCCTGACGGAGGACCTGATGGAGGGCCTCGAGGAGTGCAACGACTTCGCCAACTGCCTGCCCAGCTCGGTGGTTGATAAGTCACCGATCACTGCGGAATTCGGCAGGCAGATGGCCTTCTTCAAGTGCCTTAAGGTATGTCTCACCAAATGTGATCACCACTGATGTACAGAATGGCTCAGGCACGTGGCACTGTAAGTTATGCTTTTTACGATATCATACAATTAAGACAATTAAATCACCCTAATAAGAGTATCGGACGTTTGTCTCTCTTCAAACCAGCTAATGCAGAGTCTTTCTCAGGAGAAGACACTTGGTCTGACCCTTGGTCGGGTGGTCTGACAACATTGACACTGATCGTTTCTCTGTGCGACGCTGTACTTATCTGTGACTTGCGTTGCAGAGAGCCAAGGCGAAGTCTTGCATGAAGCAGGACTTCCGGGAAGAGCACCTGCCGATGCTGATGAAGGCGGACCTCGATATTGACGTGGATGAGACCTTCCAGACAGTGATGATGTCGTTCATGGTGGGCCGTAGTCCGTTCTAGCGGCGTGTAAAGGAACGGCTAAAAGACCACCTCTTGGCTTGGCGTTGAACCGGCTTTTACGACATGCTAGCTTTAAGCAGACGTACGCACTCGGCATTGGGCTCTTGGTTGGGCCGTTTTGGGGTTGGCTACTGCATCACTGCGTGGTGTTGGTGATGAACTGAAACATGGATGTCTTGAATAAAATTGCAGCATTGCGTGCTTCGTATAGACGCATAATATGCGCTCTGACAGTGCTGGTGGGAGCTGCGATATTACAGGGCCTGGCGTCCCGATTTGATATGGACGCGGACGGATCAGTTACACGGCCTGTCGCCCTATCACTGTAGTCGATTGGCATGGGAAGCCCCGGTCGGTATCGGGCACTGCCTGGTTCTGACGAGAACCAGAGCATGCATGGCGAGCTCCCAGTCTCAGTCGGCTAAACGCGCATCGGTCGCCGGCTCAGCCACCACCGTTGGCCGAGCGGTTTGGGAGCTGCAGGACGGGCCAACTCAGAATGTCGCCGGGCCGGCCGGCTGCGGCAGTGACCTGTCACCTGTGTGAAGGTCGGATCAGCGCAGCAGCCGCTACGAGGGTCGGCGGACGATGGCGGTCTTGTGACAGACGGACCTCAATACGTCGGGCAGGTCTTTACACGAGTATGCCACCATGATAAATGGTGAATGGATGAGTATCACTGGTTGAACATTAAACCAATGTGGGACGGAGCACATAGGACAGCAGTGGTGCATAGGACATCCTTCACTGCATGTTTAATTGGTATAGCTATATTCACATGGCCCAGGCCCGGGCCGGGCTCTGACGATAGAAGAAACACAATTCGCCCTCATCCTTCGCATACGGCCGGCGCAACTGGAATTGATTGAGGCGGTTTGATGCCGTTTTTGTCAGACGAATTCAGGAAATCAACGGTCCGGCAGTGGAAGACCTCAAAGGCGTTGTCGCCGTGCGCGAATGGAGGCCTCCACATTGAACGCAACTGTCTTTCCCCTTTCATTACGTTCCTTAGCAGTGGCTTCCGCGCGCAGCCGTGAAAACGAAAAATTGTGCAGAGCTGGCTCTACCCACTCATCTGTCGGAAGAAATTCTATAGAATCTCAGAGTTATCTTGCTCAGCCCATCTTGCAAGTAGCCCCAAGTGCACGTTTCTGGCATAATCCAATACCAACGTATGTCGGAGCAGCCTGACCCTTATTTCAATAAGAATGGGAATAAAGTGAGCAACGTATTTTGTCACTTCGATTGATGCTTGGTCGAACGTCAACATGCTTGATTTCAATTAAATGCATGGGGGGAGGTTAAAACGGTCACTGTAGTCGCCGATCGACGCGCCCGAAAACCCTAAACAACAACAATGATGGCTATAAATGTCACCAGACACGAGATGTGCTCTGAGGGCTAAAAACAAAAATGTCCTGCAGTAAGGAAGTGGAGATAGCCACAAGGCGTGTTTCGCCATGTCAGATGTGTCTGTTCTACCTTGGGTGTTTGCCTTTCTATTACTTTAAAATGTAATATTCTCCCACAGTTTTAGAGGATTTCGCGTACCTAATACTTGGCGTTCCTCCACTTCGTTGGTGAAAACTTTCATAGAAGATCACCGTAGAGTTGTATGGTTTCTGAGGATCACATATCCACCTGATATCATCTGGCAGACCTTTGCTGAAAAGCAGTGATATTTCAGCAGATATTTTGTCTCCTCGCTGCTCCAGGCTGTTCGTACTATAACTTCGTTTTCAAGAAGCCTTCAGAGTGGCCACTCATTTGCAGCGTCTCAGATGTATGGTTCATCTCCGCCTGGCTCCACCTCATCCGCGCTGGTGGTCTCCGCGCGGTGTTGGAGACACGGCACGGATCTTCCTTGCAAAGTCACATGCTCGTGGGTCTGTGGGTGCCATAGCTCTCCCACTTTCCGAGACTACTGAAAATTAGCTTTATGGTGATTCATGGAAAAAACCGACTTCAAAACCGGTTGCGGTAAACCAAGCTTCTGGGAGGTTTCTTGATCTTTGCTTTCTTGAAATAGTGTAGGCATGTCTTGTTTTCTCACATTGCATGATGAAGTGATTTATACTGATATGATGATTGTATCTGCGCTGATGCGGCCCAGAGGCGCATCAGCTTGATATCACCCCTGTATGAACGTGCCGGCCGCATAGTGCATCCACATGGTTGCGTGGTGCTGTTTCCGACGTCATGGCAGCCAAGATGTATTCCCTGCGATTGCCGGCAATCACTTAACACGACGGCGCGCCTATGACCTTTTCTTCTGTCCGCTGGCAGCGTTGGCTGCCCACCGGGTAGCCCGTTGCGATGTGGGAAGTGCGTACTTCCATGCTGTTATTGGCGGAATTCGGGTTCTTTCTGTCGGATGACTTTTATTGTCAGATTGTCGTAACAAATAGGTAAAATGACTCATGACGCCAAAATCAAATACCTTCGCGTCACGACTCGGTAAAGAGTCCTTACTCCCTCCAACGAAATGGCTGCAGTTCTTTACATGTTGCCATGATTTTCCTACTGAGGGGCTGGGGACCATGACTGGGAAATGGCTCAGCGGGGGGTACGCTGAACCTCGACAGCCGGCCATTGGTCTCAGTGTTGTAACGGTCCTGTGAATGTCCGGTGGGCCGTTTACACGCCATCGAAGAGGGCGTAGTTGAAGCTGAAGCAGAAAGACGTTTCGAAGTAGCTGAACTTGTCATGTAAAATGGCGTCAATGTTCTACAGCCTGTCGGCGCATTCCAGCATAAATACAGCCCTTCAACGAGGCCTGCGCGCCATTTAACGCCGTACGTATTGCGCAAAAGCGACGCTATGCGCATTGCGCAAGGTCACGATATACGTATCCACGCAAGGATGCGTATTTACGAGGCCAAACGATACGCATTGCGCAAGTGCTTCCAAACAGCTCAAACCATTGTTTCTCGCGGTAAATCTCACTCACAGCCTGGTCGGTGCAAACATCACGTAACTCCACCAAATTGTTTTTTACATGTACCGGAAAGGATCATCCGGGACGCGACCCCACAGCCTTGCGTGCCTTAATCGACACGCGTGCGGTGTCACGATGCACGCGTGACACGCAGTGCCGCAGTGCCACGATCGCAGCCAAGAGCTTGGGGTTTAACTGCACGAAATTTGGGTGCATCAGAACGCTGGGGTAGGGTGCACGCATGGGTGTGGGAGTGACATGAACTATGAAAGACTTGTCACAATTACGTAAGTTCTTCAGTGCATTTGCGAGAAACACTTTTCGCATATATAAGGTAGTAATAATAGCCTTTTTCCGCGAGGAAAAAAAACAGGAAAATGGAGATATAGGTGCGTTGATATTTTGGCCACATGTCTTTATCGAGACAGCAGTAGAAGTGAATCAAAGTTGCCTGTTGATGATCCTACTCGACTTTTTCAGCTTTTTTTTTAAACAGCGATACACAGTTTATGCAGGACGTCAACATTTAGATATGGACTCGACGCCCCTTTTAGAGCTCAAAGCATCTTCAAAGCACAGGACCACCCAGGCAGGAAAATAAGTGAATCTGTTCTTATAAAAAGTTGGCGACCAAACCTCAACGTACATAGCCCCTCATGGCTGATTATGTCACGGTGATATCTGCCTTGATGTGCGATGTATGCTAGTTTAGAATCGTTTACATGTGTAAGTAATGCCTGACGCTTGATGTGCGATGCCTGTTTAATTGAAATCGCTTGCATGGATAATTGATGCGTGATGCTGCATGCTTGAATGAAGCGTTATGCGTGATACCTGTTTATTTGAATTCGTTCGCACGTGCACGTATTTTCGCGCATTTTAATTCTTAGTTAGATATGCACTGTATCGTAGTAATGGCTGGCAATTGCTCCTTGTTAGATCCCTGAATGTTGCTCCTGCAAAAATTGCGACTCAGTGTTAGAAAAATCAAGCGAAAAATCCAGTAGGATCATCGGCCTGCAATTTTGAATTTACTTCTGCTTTTGTGATGATGAATGCATGTCGCCGAAATATCAACGCCACTATATCTCCATTCTTCTGGATTTTTTTTCTCCGGGTAATAAGACCACCAATACTGTCTTATCTAGGCTTGTCACAAGCTTCATAAACACGTAGGTTTAACCATCCCGCTGCACCGGGCATTAGATGCGTCTCTCCTGCCTCGCGACCATCCGAGTGTGTCCGAGGTCACGGTCGGCGGGTCGCCGCTGAGTTCGTATCAGGCAGCATGCGTCGGGCGCGTGTAAGCGCTGAGGTGGTTGGCACTTTCTTTGCTGGTTTGAAGTGAAACCAAGTGTTAGTTGTGAGTGGCGGAGGACTTCGGGGTGGTGGAAGAAGCACCAACCACAAAGGCATGCACGACTACAATGTAGCTTTATGCCATATGTGGTCAGTGAAGGCAGGTAGATGTAGTAGATCTCGAAGATCTAGACCGGACGCTTGTCTGTTTCCGTAGCAGAGGCAACTCATTTAGAACTGGGGTGGGGGACTTATTGAGCGTGGCATAGTTGTTTACACTGCCATCAATCCCCTTGGGGCATGCTTGCAAATATTATCGACCATTTTCGGCTCCCGTCTTTGTTTCCAACAGCCCTTAGGATGGCGCTGTCTTTTAAGTGGTAGGATGTGGGAGGTTAAACTATTAATTTTTTGGTACCTCTTTATTGGCAGAGTGCATAGGCTCCGCACTTTTCTCTCCTTCTCGCTCGTTAGGTTTGTGAGCATCCATTTCTGCTCAACGTTGTTCATTCGCAGCAGGAATAGCGTGCCGAAACGTTGAGTTTTTGATATATATATATATATATATATATATATATCAAATATATATGATATATTTGATATATATATATATAAAATGCATTATATATATTATATTTATTATATATACCTATATATGCATCACTCTTCTTCCTCTCTTCTCTCTCTCTCTCTCCTCTCTCTCTCTCTCTCTCTCTCTCTCTCTATCTCTCTCCTCTTCTCTCTCGCTCTATCTCTCTCTCTCTCTCTCTCGCTCTCTCTCTCTCTCTATCTCGCTTCTCTCTCTCTCTCTCTGGTGTGTGTGGTGGTTGTGTGTGTGATTCTTGGCAACGTAACTTAACCAGCACTTTCAAGTGGTGCTGGTTGATGGCATTCACGCTCTGCTTTAGCATCAATGCCAAAAAAGATAATAAACTTCACCCTTATATATATATATATATATA